CCCCAGCTTCTTCAAAGTCAATCCAGTCACTTCAAGGATAACATCCATCCATCTTGCCCTTGGTCGGCCCCTCTTCCTTTTTCCTTCCATAATCTCCAACATCACTGTCTTCTCTAAGCTTTCCTTTCTTCTCATGATGTGGCCAAAGTACTTCATCTTTGCTTCTTATATCCTTTTCTCCAGTGAGCAGTCAGGCATTATTTCCTGGAGGATGGACTGGTTGGATCTTCTCGCAGTCCACTCTCAGAATTTTCCTCCAACACCACAGTTCAAAAGTGTCTATCTTCCTTCACTAAGCCTTCCTTATGGTCCAGCTCTTGCATCCATAGGTTACTATGGTAATACCATTGCTTTAACTATGTGGATCTTTGTTGCCAGTGTGCTGTCTCTACTCTTTATTATTTTATCAATATTGCTCATTGTTCTCCTCTTGAGAAGTAAACATCTTCTGATTTCCTAGTCACAGTCTGCATCTGCTGTAATCTTCACTCCAAGATATACAAAGTCTGTCACTGCCTCCACATTTTCCCTCTATTTGCCTTTTATCAATCAGTATGGTTGCTGTCATCTTGGTTTTTTTGATGTCAGAACTTTAGTGTGGACTTAAAAAACTCTTTTGGAAATAGCACATAGCAAACGGGAGAGATCTTTAAACTTTTATTTTAAAAATAGAGTGGATTGACAGCCCTAATGGGCTCTTTTGGGTATGAAACTCCATGGATTTTTTGAAGCGAATTTGCAAACATCTCTCCAGGTTTGGAAAAAAGCGAATGTAGGGAAGAAGAGGGTCATAAGCTATGAGCTCGTACAAAAGCAAGATGAATTCAAGGGCATTTTCAAGGACATTATGTGCCCAAAAATGAAAATGAAAAAGAGAAGGTTCTGGCTTAAAAGAATGATAATATTTTGAATTTCAGTGCTAATTTGTGTGTGTACTTTGCTTGTCCTTTAATAAACAATAAGATGAAGGGGTTGCTGTGAATTTTCTGGGCTGTATGGCCACGTTCCAGAAGCATTCCCTCCTGACGTTTCACCCACATCCATAGCAGACTTCCTCAGAGGTTGTGACGTCTGTTGGAAACTAGGCAAGTGGATTTTTGTGAGTGTTCCAGGCTGTATGGCCATGTTGCAGAAGCATTCTCTCCTGACGTTTCTCTTTCATCTATGGCAGGCATCCTCAGAGGTTGTGAGGTCTGTTGGAAACTAGGAAAGTGGGGTTTATATATCTGTGGAATGTCCAGGATGGGAGAAAGAACCCTTGTCTGTTTGAAGTAGGTGTGAATATTTTGTTCATTTTCCATGTTTTTGTTTTCCTTTCTGTTGAAATTGTCCACATGCTAGAGCTAGTTACAGGGAGCAGTCTACCCCCCTGTTTAAGGAGCTCCACTGGCTGCTGTTCATTTTCCAGGCCCAATTCAAGGTGCAGGTTATCACCTACAAAGCCCTGAACGATTTGGGCCCTGGCTACCTTCATGACCGTATTTCCTTCTATGAACCTGCATGACCCCTCCGATCCTCAGGGGAGGCTCTTCTCTCGCTTCCCCCACTGTCGCAAGTGAGACTTGTGGGGACGAAGGAAAGGGCTTTCTCTGTGGTGGCCCCTCAGCTTTGGAATTCTCTACCTGGAGAGATTAGGCAAGTACCCACCCTGGCAGCCTTCAGGAAGAGTCTAAATACCTGGTTGTTTTGGTGTGCCTTTGAGGAATGAATACAATCCCCACACAATGACCAGCTCAGTACAATATGTCCTTCGATGCTCTTTATCTCACCCCTTAGTGATATTCACCCCACTGCTTCTTCCCATCTGAAATCCCCCACCAAGCACTAGTCATCCATCTCACACAGGGTTTTTATATTTTAATTCTACCTCTTGTAACTTGGCCCAGCCCGCTGGGCACATTTTTATTATTTCATTTCACTTCTTGTATTTGATTTTGTATTAACTTGTTTTGTTTATATTTCATTTGATGCTATTATTGCTGTATGGATTTTATTTTGATTTGTTGTAATTGTTGGGCTTGGCCTCACGTTAGCCACCCCAAGTCCCCATTGGGAAGATGGTGGCAGGGTATAAATAAAGTTTTATTATTATTGTTATTATTATTTACTGAAACAAAAACACAGTATGTCACAGCAAACAAGATATAAATGCTGGATTTTGTCTCACAAAATCACAAGTCGAACACTTCCCAAGCGTCTAGGACTGTGTTGTTGTTGTTGTTGTTGTTGTTGTTGTATCACCACCACCTTTATGGTTATTATATTATTATTTATATATTATTACTATTATGCTGTTATCATCATCATCATTATTATCATCATCATCATCATCATCGTTACCTCCTCCTCTTAAGTGTCATTATATTATGGTCATTATATTATTATGTATATTATGTATATTATTTATTTATTTATTTACAGTATTTATATTCTGCCCTTCTCACCCCGCAGGGGGCTCCGGGCGGATTACAATGTACATATACATGGCAAACATTCAATCCCATAGACACAACATAGATAGGCAGACACACAGAGGCTATTTAACATTGCAGCTTTTTCATGTGGGTTTTCTGGCCACCAGGTGAGCTGTCACTTCACCATCTATTTGTGACATTGATTAAGTACTTCCTCATTCTTTGCATGCTTGCTGGAGATTTTTATGATGTCGTAAATTAGCCTCCCTGCATTTTTTTTTGTCGTGTCAGGAGGGACTTGAGAAAATACAAGTCACTTCTGGAGTGAGAGAATTGGCCGTCTGCAAGGACATTGCCCTGGGGATGCCTGAATGATTTGATGTTTTTATCATCCTTGTGGGAGGCTTCTCTCATGTCCCTGCATGAGGAGCTGGAGCTGATAGAGGGAGCTCATCCGCCTCTCCCTGGATTCGAAGCTGTGACCTGTTGGTCTTCAGTCCTGCCGGCACAGGGGTTAACTCACTGAACCACTGGGGGCTCCCCGCATAAGTGGTACCTAAACTTCCTACTTGACAGATGCAGCTGTCTTTCAGGCTGCAAAGGTTGACAGCAAACTACACAATTTGGTCAGAAGCTCACTCCAACCCGGGCTGACTTTGAACTCATGACCTTTTGGTCAATAGTGATCTTAATGCAGCTGACTCCCATTATTATATCACCTCTACCTTTATGGTCATTATATTATTATTTATATTATTATTATTTTAAAAATAAGAAGATGAGTCCACAGCAAACAAGATCACTCTGCTGGCTGTATTATTATTATTATTATTATTATTATTATTATTATTATTATTATTACACTTGTGGATTTCAATGGCCTCTCTATGTAGTCTGACATAATAGTTGTTAAGAGAGGTCCAGCATTTCTGTGTTCTCAAATAATATGTTGTGTCCAGGTTGGTTCATCAAGTGCTTTGCTATGGCTGATTTCTCTGGTTGAAGTTTATGTCACAAGACGAATGTGCTTAGTTTCCTTCCCAAGCTGGAATGTGTCCAGAGGATCAAGGGTCTGGAGAACAAGGCCTATGAGGAGTGGCTTAAGGAGCTGGGCATGTTTAGCCTGAAAAAGAGAAAGCTGAGAGGAGATATGATAGCCATGTATAAATATGTGAGAGGAAGTCACAGGGAGGAGGGAGTAAGCTTGTTTTCTGCTTCCCTGGAGACTAGGGCGCTGAACAATGGCTTCAAACTACAAGAGAGGAGATTCCATCTGAACATGAGGAAGAACTTCCTGACTGTGAGAGCCGTTCAGCAGTGGAACTCTCTGCCCCGGAGTGTGGTGGAGGCTCCTTCTTTGGAAGCTTTTAAACGGAGGCTGGATGGCCATCTGTCAGGGATGATTTGAATGCAATATTCCTGCTTCTTGGCAGGGGGTTGGACTGGATAGCCCATGAGGTCTCTTCCAACTCTTTGATTCTATGATTTCCCCAAACTCCACATTGTACTTACATTTCCCCAAAACTACATACACAATTTGTATGCCCATCTCATCACATATTTAAAAAGCCACTGCAACCTGGCTTGTAAGGAGGCTCCTGAGGACATTATGTCCACTGGGGAAGCCTTGAAAAGTGAAATGCTGAGAAACTGGACCGGTTTCCCCATTTCCCGCGCGGCTTCCGCCTCACCTGCTTGGATCAAAGGGGACGAATCGGGTCTCCCTGCACCCTCGTGGGCTCGGCGCGTTTGGGACCAGGCGCGTGGCTTCTCGAGTGGGAGGGAGCGGGAAGGAGGGAGGGAGAGGGGCGGACGGACAGACTCCAAAGCCGGGACTGGACCTGCCGGGAAGAGCCGCTCGCCATGGAGCCGGGCCTGCAGCTAGGTAAACGGGGCTGGAGGTCCCTGGGTGTCCCAGAGAGGTCCCGGAATGTCTTTAGACCAGGTTTAGGCCAACTGGGACCCTCCAGGTGTTTTGGACTTCAACTCCCACCATTCCTAACAGCCTCAGACCCCTTCCTTTTCCCCCTCAGCCGCTTAAGCGTGAGGGGAAAGGATGGGGGCTGAGGCTGTTAAGAATGGTGGGAGTTGAAGTCCAAAACACCTGGAGGCCCAAGTTGCCCCATGAAGGGGGAAAGGATGGGGGCTGAGGCTGTTAGGAATCCGGATTGCGACTGTAAGCAATTTGGGATGCCAATGCCAGGGCTTTCTCTTCCCTGTAATCCCTTGCAGTTTGAGACCGGCATTGCTGCTTGGCTCTCCTCCACACCAAGGACCTTGGCTCTCCTCCGCGTCCCCTTTCCTTTCCTTTCCGCAGGAGGAACCCTCCTACCCCCCAAGGACCAGATTTGCCCCCTTCATTCCTTTCCCTTTCCCCTTCTTTTGGCGGCTCCTGCAGTCCCGGGGAGGGTGAGGGGAGAGGGAAAGAGAGGCCGGCTAGAGCCGCAGTGGAGGCAGAAACCTCCTCCTCCTCCTCAATCCTCCTCCTCCTCCTCGATCTCCTCCTCCTCTCGCTCCTCCGCTGCGCGCTCCCGCCGGATGCGTCCTTGCCTTGCGCGCCCGTGGATGGCGAGGCGGCTGGAGGGGGTGCCTCCCCCTTAAGCCTGTCTCTTTCGGGGCGCCCCTTCCTCCTTCCCCCCATCTTCCTCCTTCCTCCGCCTCGCCGGAGTTATGCCCAACAAGACTCTGAAGATGTCCTTGCCCAGGAAAACCAAGATCCACTCGGCGGCTGGTAAGAGCAGGGGGCGGTTGGGCCGGGGGAGGAGCGGGTGTGCGTGGATCCCCTTCCCCCGCAATCCCTTCCTCTCCCGGTTCTGCATCCTTGGCGTCTGGAGGGCGGGGAAGGGAGCGAGCGGGCCTGCATCCTTCGTGGCTCTTGGAGGGCGGCGTTACGCCCCTCTGGGCCCGGCAGGCTTCGATTGGAAACGGGGAGGGACTCTTCTTCCATCTGCCTGGATCGATCGCGTCCCACTTTGGCTTGGAGTGCTCCGAGGAGGAGAAGGAAGGAGGGAGGGAGGAAGGAGGGAAGGAGAGGGCGAATGTGGCTCCTGTACCAACCCACACGATCTCTTCCATCATCTGGAGAGGCCCTGCTCGCGCTCCCGCCTCCTTCGCAGGACGAGGGAAAGGGCCTTCTCGGTGGTGGCCCTCCAAGGACTTCAGTCATGCCTGAAGTCCTTCCCAAGGCATTGGCATCCGAGTCGCAATCTGGGTCTGCAAGGAGGAGGAGAGGAGGAAGAGGGGATTGTTCTGGGTCTAAAGCAGGTCTTGGCCAATTGGGACCCTCCAAGTGTTTTGGACTTCAACTCCCACCATTCCTAACAGTCTCAGAACCCTTCCTTTCCCCCCATGCAGTCACTTCCCAAGGACATCAGGCATGCCCCAACATTGGCAGTCTTTAGGAGAAGCCTGAAAACGTGGCTGTTCCAGTGTGTCTTCCCAGAATAAGGAAAAATTCCCAGCAATATGTCCTCAGAATGCACTTTACTATTGGATTGGGTTGGACTGCGCTCCCTCATTTCTTTTAAAACCCTTATAGTAATTTTCATCATCCATAGTGTTTAGACCAGGGGTTCACAAACTTTTTAAACAGAGGGCCAGGTCACAGTCCCTCAAACTGTTGGAGGGCAGATTGCAATTTGAAAAAAGCATGAGTTGATTCCTATGCACACTGCACATATCTTATTTGTAGTGCAAAAACATTTAAAAATAATACAATCATTAAAATGAAGAACAATTTTAACAAATATAAACTTATTAGTATTTCAATGGGAAGTGTGGGCCTGCTTTTGGCTGATGAGATAGGATTGCTGTTGTTGTGTGCTTTCAAGTCGTTTCAGACTTAGGTTGACCCTGAAGGCCGGGTAAATGACCTTGGAGGGTATCGGCCCTGGGCCTTAGTTTGAGGACCTGGATTAGGAACTGAGGTGCTGTCACAAATATCAGTGTTAAATATTACTATATTGTACTATACCATTATATTGTAATATTATTAATAATATTACATGCAATATTTATTTATTTATTTATTTATTTATTTATTTACAGCTTTTATATTCCGCCCTTCTCACCCCGCAGGGGACTCAGGGCGGATTACAGTGTACACATATATGGCAAACATTCAATGCCAATTTTGACATACAACATATACAGACATAGACAGAGGCTATTTAACTTTTTCTGGCCGCCAGGGGAGCTGTCGCTTTCATCGTCCATCTGCGACACTGATGAAGTACTTCCATTCCCCACATGCTTTCTGCTGGAGTGCTTTGACAGAGTCTTTTTTTATGGCCTCATGAATTAGTTAATTTAGCCTCCCCACACTTTAAGGTGGTACCTAATTTTCCTACTTGACAGATGCAACTGTCTTTCGGGTTGCAAAGGTCGACAACAGGCTACACAATTGGTTGGAACCCCTCCAACCCGGGCTGGCTTCGAACTCATGACCTTTTGGTCAGAGTGATCTTAATGCAGCTGACACTCAGCCAGCTGCGCCACAATCCCGGTGTTTATTTCAGAGAACACCTAACTAGGAACCTGTAGACCCTCTAGCACACTGGTTCTCAACCTGTGGGTCATAAAGGTGGTTAATAGGAGGAAAAGAAGAAAGTGTCAGTGTACAGATGTTAAAAGGTGGAGCAGAACTTTCCACGAAGGAATGTAACAAGTAGCTTGCCACATTTTTGTCCAGTTCCTCAATTGTTAATACAAGTTGAGAAAGCTGACATTCTGAAAAGGCATCCTTATCAGCCCTTCATGTTACAACAATGTAGAGTTTCTCAGCCTGGGGGTCGGGACCCCTGGGGGGGTCGTGAGGGGGTGTCAGAGGGGGCACCAAAGACAATTAGAAAACACAGTATTTTCCATTGGTCGTGCGGGTTCTGTGTGGGAAGTTTGGCCCAATTCTGTCGTTGGTAGGGGATCAGAACGCTCTTTGATTGTAGGTGAACTATCAATCCCAGCAACTATAACTCTCAAATGTCAAGATCTATTTTCTCCAAACTCCACCAGTGTTCACATTTGGGCATATTGAGTATTCAAGCCAAGTTTGGTCCAGATCCATCATTGCTTGTCCACAGTGTTCTCGGGATATAGGTGAACTACAACTCCAGAACTCAAGGTCAATGCCTGCCAAGCCCTTCTAGTATTTCCTGTTGGTCATGGGAATTTTGTGTTCCAAGTTTGGTTCAATTCCATTGGTGGTGGAGTTGGATTGTATGTGAACTATATATCCCAGCAACTACAACTTCCAAATGACAAAATCAATCCCCCCAACCCTGCCAGTATTCAGATTTGGGCATATCAGATATTTCTGCCAAATTTGGTCCAGTGAATGAAAATACATCCTGCATATCAGATATTTATATGATGATTCATAATAGTAGCAAAATGACAGTTCTGAAGTAGCAACAAAAATAATTTCATGGTTGGGGATCACCACAACATGATTAACTGTATTAAGGGGTCACAGCATTAGGAAGGTTGAGAATCACTAGATCCAGGGAAGTCATGCTACCCCTCTATTCTGCCTTGGTTAGACCACACCTGGAATACTGTATCCAATTCTGGGCACCACAGAAAAGAGATATTGACAAGCTGGGATGTGTCCAGAGGATGGCAACTCAAAGGATCAAGGGTCTGGAGAACAAGCCCTATGAGGAGCGGCTGAAAGAGCTGGGCATGCTTAGCCTGAAGAACAGAAGGCTAAGAGAAGACATGATGAGGGCCATGGATAAATACGTGAGGGGAAGTCATAGGGAGGAGGAGGAGAAGAAGAACTTTATTTTTCTCCCCCGCTTCCATCTCCCTGGAAAGGGCAGCTGACATGGGGCCATGCCCAGGCAACATACAATTAAAAACAGAACAGCAAATATTAAAACAACATAAGAACAGCATCATCATAAACAATAAAACAAGCATCATACGCAACAGTATAGGTACCACTAGTCTCATTTTTGGGGGAGGGGACCAGGATAGGTTGTTCAATAAGGTGTATAGAACAAATAGTAGAATAGGAATAGAGCAATTATAACAGGATAATTGCAACTTAACTTGAAAATGTAGTAATCAAAATAGGAACTTGAGTTCATATCATGGTTAGGAGCCATCTATCAGGGAGGAAGGAGCAAGCTTGTTTTCTGCTGCCCTGGAGACTAGGACCCAGAACAATGGCTTCAAACTACAAAAAAGGAGATTCTGTCTGAACATTAGAAAGAACTTCCTGACTGTGAGAGCCGTTCAGCAGTGGAACTCTCTGCCCCGGGGTGTGGTGGAGGCGCCTTCTTTGGAGGCTTTGGAAATCCAGCATATATATCTCATTTGCTGTCACATACTGTATCACATACTGTGTTTTTTGTCAGAATAATAATAATAATAATAATAATAATAATAATAATAATAATAACAACACAGTCCTAGACTGTTGGGAAGTGTCCAATGTGTGATCCAATACAACAGCCAGCAAAGTGATCTTGTCTGCTGTGGACTCATCTTGTTGTGTTTCAAATAATAATAATAATAATAATAATAATAAKWATAATAATAATAATAAGTATAATAATTATAATTATAATTATAATTATTATTATATATCCCACACTTTCACCCCATGGGGATTCAGGGCAGTTTACAACAAATCAGCAAACATTAATGGCTTCAAACTACAGGAAAGGAGATTCCACCTGAACATTAGGAAGAACTTCATAACGGTGAGAACTGTTCAGCAATGGAACTCTCTGCCCCAGAGTGTGGTGAAGGCTCCTTCTTTGGAGATTTTTAAGCAGAGGCTGAATGGCCATCTGTCGGAGGTGCTTTGAATGCAATTTTTCTGCTTCCTGGCAGGGGGTTGGACTGGATGGCCCACAAGGTCTCTTCTGAATCTATGATTCTATGTGGCACACTGAGCACTCAATTTGTGCAAGAGCCAAAGATCTGTGAAGTTGTTCATTACTCTGAGGCATAACTGGGTTGTAACTTTTGGTGGTTGTTTCTGTTGTTTTTTTCCTTATGGGTGGCTTCTTGAAGTTTCCAGAAAAATGCAACGTAGCCATCACTGTATCCCACACTTGAGGAACCTAAGCAAAATCAGCCCTTCTAATCCCCAAAGACATTCACCATAATCTTTTATACTTATGCCATTACTTTGGTCTAGAGGAGTTGGAATTCTACCACTCCATCTGCTCAGTAGAACCACATCTGCAAAATCATTTGTAAAACAGCAGTGTACAAGGCAATATATATGTAGTTCACTGGAAGTTACAACTGTTTGGTCAGCCTAGTTTTTTATACAGCAGATAAAAAAGCAATTATTAGCCTGAGTGTTTGAATCAATGGGAACTTGGTACACTACAATTTTTTCTGACTTTCACTGAATCAATAGTCTCTTCTGGTTAGGACTAACAATTACATTTAGACCAGTATCTGGGTTGCAAGGGTAGGAACTGTACGATTCTCCAGATGCTTTTGAACTGCTGGTTTCAGCATTCCTTGGCATTGGGTTTACTGACTGGCGATTCTAGGAGCTGCAGTTTAAAAAGACCTGAAGGATCACATGGTGCCCACTCTGGTGTATTGTGACTAGCTGAAATTTTTTCTACCCACTTTCCCTGCCTTTAGTTCTATAATTAGTATTCACTTCCTCATACTCAGATGGAATATCCTTTCTTGTAGTTTGAAGCCATTGCTCAGCGTCCTAGTCTCCAGGGAAGCAGAAAACAAGCCTGCTCCCTTCTT